CACACCATGATGGAGATAGTGTAATGATTACAACATAATGTCTTTAAAGGTGTTTGAGGTTTTTTAAAAAATGTTTTTATTTAATTCACATATCTCATAACTTACATACGATGAAGGGAGAGAATTGTCTTAGTTAAACTTTTAAAATTTCTTCTAGTTTTAGGATTCTTTGAAATTGTGACTCTAAATTGGTAGTGAGTTATTTCCTGATCTTTATTTCTTACTAGAGGCCCGATGCACAAAATTCATGCAAGAGTAAGCCTTCCTTCCCCTGGCTGCCAGCACTGGCTTCCCTCTGGCACCTAGGACATGGGCTTCCCTCCAGCACCCGGGACCCGGGCTTCCCTTGCAGCTCTGGCTTCGTCCAGAAGGTTGTCCAGAAGGATGTCCGGAAGGACATCTGGTCTAATTAGCACATTACGCTTTTATTATTATAGATGAAAGCAAATATGGGATAAAGGCAAACACCAAGTCTTATGCTTATTATGTATCCTATGCCATCCCAGTGTAGTAGTAGTAGTCGGAGTAGTAGTAATAATCGATACTTTAGACTAAGAATTACTTTCTCTTTAGTAGACTTCTTTCTTTAGTAGTTCCGAAGCATAATACTGTAGTTGATTTTTCTATAATGCTTATCATAAGAACAACTCATCATTGGAATTAAAACAGGAAAATCCACAAGTACTGAATATAAACTTAAAATAGAGCTTCACACCAAAGCTTTTGAAAAATATTTCTGGAGCTGAGTGCAGAAACTCCTGTGTCTGATTACCTAGAATAAAGGCCCATTGACCTTTGCAAGGATAGGAAGCTAACATTTACGTGTGCCTACTCTTAGGTAGATGCTAGGTAATTCACACAACTCCTTTCATATTTGTGATGAAGTGAGGAAATTGCCCTAGTTAAATTTTAAACTTTCTTTCAGTAAAAACTTGGGTTAGTGGAAATATGTTGTAGCCAGGATGCCTTTATCCCAAATGAGGCAACTCAATCCACATAGCTAACAGCAATCTTGATTTATGATAGAGGAGTAAGAGGAATTTTAGCTATGCGTGGTGTTGCACTGAACCATCTGGGGAAGAGGAATCTTCATTTCTTTCTCCCTTTAGTCATTTTAAGACAGCCTGGCATCTACCCTTTGTACAGAGGTCTTCAAAAGAAAGGCTTATGGAAAGGAGATGTTCCCTTGCTACTCTGAAGAGGTATACTAAGTACACCAATGTACTATTTCAGGAAGAGAAGGGCATCATGTAGTTGGCAAAGTAGCATCGAGTTAACAGTTATGCTGCCTTCAGCAACAGAGGTCAGTGAAGAGTCACTGAAGGCCATCTCACATGATTTATCATTACGAGTCTCCTTAAATTACCGCTAAATAAAATTGAATTGGCACAGTTAAATTTTTGATTAAGGTACTGAAGTTAAAAAATTTTTAAGTATATTAATATCCAACCTTTGTTGAATGATTTTTGGCTCACAAAGTATTTTTATATCTTTACCTCATTTAATTCTGTAAAGTAGTTATTGTTACTATCTTCATCATATAGATGAGGAATGTAACACATTAGAATTTCATAGGTAGCATCTACAAATCGTTAACTTAAAAATGTAAATTTTAAACAATCAGAGAAATGATTGGTATATTGAAGTAGTCCCCCAACTAAGTCCCTCTTCCTTTATATATAGTAACAATCCACATTTTTTTTCCTGTCAATGTTTTGAATTATCTTAACACTTTGTCTAATTTAACAAGTATCTCATTGTTTTAATGCATATTACTTTAAGTAGTAATGGTTGAATTTTTTCCATGTTTGTTTACTTACTAATTAAAAGCCATCTTTTATGACTATCTGTTTGAGGCAATGCCCATTTATTTATTAGAATGTTTACATTTTATTATATATATTCTGTAATATTAGCTACTATGTACTTAGTACTTGTGCCTATGTTATTGTGCTCTATTATTACATTTACAGCTAAAATTCTATATAGCTATACATAAATAATAAGGAATTGTACTAGCATAAATACCATGCATAGGTAATAGTCCTGGTTACCATTTATTGAGAATTTACTATATGTATCATAACAATTTTGCATTGCATTGATGAGGAAATTATGGATCAGAGAGATTAAGTAACTTGTCCAAGGTTGAAGAGCTGGAAACTCAGTTTGAATTCATCATCAGTATTCTTAGTCACTGGTCATAACAGCTATATTATATGTTTTTCTTGGTATATGATATCTTCTATTATGTTTTAAAATGTATAGATCTAGAGCTGGGTGGGTTTTTAGTAGATATTTTTAAAGTTAGAACCTAAAAATTATCCTTAAGCCTATTAAGCCTAATACAATGCGTTACTGATTTACTAGAAAAGATTTTTTTAGGTACTTTAACCTTAATGACAGTATATCTACAAACACCACTTCACTTTTAAAATTGAATCCTTTTAGTAGTCTTGATTTTTATCTAGTTTTTATCAACTTTTAGTTGGTGTTATTTAATGTAATATTTATTTTAGTGGGAAGCTGAATGAATTATTGCTGCTTAAAAACAAGAATATATTCTTTCTTTTTTATGCTCTTGAATTTAAGGCATTTTAAAGACTGCTATGATAGCATTCAGATTGTATCTGCAGAATATATTCCTCATTAGTTTGGTCATCTTTACCTGTGGTATCAGATACACTATTTTTATTTTGTTTGAGAATTTGTCTAGATAGATTGTTTTTATGTGTTTTAGTTGCTAAAATAAAAGAATAGGTTTTCTTTAAGATTTTCTTTAGGGACTTCTTTATGCCTTCATTGAATATTTATATTTCTTATTAAACTGTTTCTGAAAAATGATTCTGAAGATAATCAAAATACGAAAGGAAAGTGATTTTTAAACATGTTATTTCTTCCTGTCTTTAGGGACACTGGATAGATGTTTTACTAATATGTTTGTTATTTTTAAAAAAAGATTTCCAATGAGCAGAATATCATGCAAAATTCTCCTCTATAGCTATCAATATCATTTTAAAAATAGTTTTGACCGTTTTTATAAAACAGGAAAGCTATTAAAAACTGTTAATAAAAAATAGGTGCTTATTTTTGTGCTAATACTAATTACTGATAATGCATGCTTATGTTTGTCAGTCATTGCATGGCACTGTACCAATCAGAGGATTGACTGAGACTCAAGCACTTACACATGTAAATTAACCGCTAGATTTTTTTTTCCCTTTTTTACTTAAGTGAGTCATAATGGAAAGCAACTCTAGGTCATAAAAAATCTTTTCTCTTTAATGCCAATGAAATGTCTCCACTCTCTGTGTTAGCAGACTACCCTTATTGGTAATCTGTAGCCTTCCCTTTTGTTCCTGGTAGTAATGAAATGCTGGGTGCTGAAAAAACCTGCTCTTCAAGAATGTGTGGCCAGTTGTCTTCTGTTCACTTATACTGTAAAATTACTGTTCCCCAGCAAAGCTGAACAAGAAAGGGGACAAGATCAAAAGAGTATACATTGGCACCCGGCTGCACCAAGTGACTCCTGCTTTCTTAATTAGCCACAGCTTCTCCAAGTAAATTTACTCCGATACAGCAAAAACACTGAAATACAGAAACAACATATGATAAATCAACCACAAATCTTTATTGTTTGCTTTTTCCAGCCTCCCATTGAAACCTTTGCACAGTGTTATAAGCTAAATGTCCCTTCATATTTCTGAATCTTAGGGCACAAAAGCTATTTTAAATGTTTTCAAAAACACCAGTGAGATAGGCAGATGATGATTTTTTATTCTCTAAAATTGGGTAACTTTTCATTGGTATTCTTTTTAAAAGTCAGTGTATTGGGAATCCAATTTAAACGTGCAGTTGCTTCTAAAATTTGCTAGCTTGTTCTGTCCTCTCATCAGAAATGCCACTGGTATTTAAGCCTTTGAAAAGGGCCTTCTCTGTGAGTGTTTTTGCGGAAGCAAAATTTGACAGTGATCCTAAGCTCCAAATTAATTAATATGGTATCAGTACCACTTTCCTTTTCATTTTAATCACCACTTTGTAAGTTCCTGAAGTCTTTTTAATATAAGAACCATCAGTAGGTTTTTGGTTAATATTTTAAAGTTACAGTTTGAGACAGAAAAGAAAGATCTGTGCATCCCCATATCCTGGCCTTGTTTTGTTTTGTTCAGGTGGGAAGGAAAGAATTAAACTTTTGAGTAAGATACCAGCTGTAAAGAGAAAGTGATTGGGACCTGTCCAGGCCAGGTTGTTGTTAGTTGTGTTAGAACCAGTCAGTTGTTTACTTTCAGTATTTTGATTTAATTTGAAAGAATTCCATTAGTTTCTATGTGCTCTAACATGATTTAAAAATAACATATACATATTGATATATATTGTGTGATATATTTTATGAACATGAAACATGTTTTAGTGAGATTATCTAAAGTGTGTTTTTAAAGAAAGATCATAACATTGCTACATCAAGAGTATCTAAAACCCATGTTATATTCAAAAGGGAAGGTATGATCATTAATATCAGCCTTCCCTATACATTTATTTTTTAAGTCAACTTCCTTTCCTCCTTAATTTCTGTATTTCTATGATTTTTAAAAGCATTAAAAAAGTCATTATTAAGCTTATTTGTTAATTGTGGATTAAAAAATAATTTTAAAAAAGATCATTAGTTATATGTATCTCTGTACTTAGATTAAATAATTTTATATGCATTCTGCACTTTTTGTTTTGTCAGAAGTTTTTTTTAAAAAATACTGTATTAACCATTCTTATAAGTTGTTATTTAAAAAAAATTTTTTGTAGAAGGAATATTTGTGTTTATGAAGGTTAGCAGAGGCTGGCTGTGCTGGAAGTGACTGCAGTGCCTTTTGATTATTCATGGACAGTAATAGAAGGCACTTAAAAAGAACAATGAAATTGCTTATTTTTGTGATGGGCCATCTGTTGAATTGTTTTGTGCAACAATTGCACAATAGTATCTATGTCATATCATTCTATTTTCAACAGCAGCTGATTATGTCTCACTGGCTACTTGTCCTTATTTCTGAAGTTCCATGACCATTTAAAGGCACCTTTTGAGGGACCTTGCCACAAAGGTACTAGAAATCTCAAACAGCTTGTGTATGTCTCTCTCTTTTTTATTTTTATTTTTTGGAGAAGAGGGCTGTGATGGAAGTAGGAAAAGGGAGTTGGTCATGTTAGTTCTAATTAATTAGACTTCATAAATGTTTAGTACAATTATCTATGCTTTCCACCTGTAGTTCTATAAAAGAAGTTAATAAAGAACCATTTGACAATTTGTGTAGAAATGATAGGCTTGCAAAATAGAAAAGTTAAAAGACTACTATACAGTTTTTCATGCTTTTAATTATCTACTCTTTTCTTCATGATGATAATTAGAATTTTTCTCTTGGAATTCACTTTCATCCTTAAAAAAAAGTCTTTAGCAAATTTGTTAGAGCAGAAGTGAAATTAAAATAAAACAAATGTGCTGTTGTCCATAGGTCACTGACATTGCTGATGCCATGATTCTGAAACAGCTTTTTGAAAATCTGTTCAAAAATGGGGTCGTCGTTGTGGCAACATCCAACAGGCCACCAGAAGGTAAAAACAAAACATTGTGCTAATCTCATCCAATTAGATGGAAACTAACAAGCTTTTAAAAATCCTTAATTTTGTACTTATTTGTCTATGTGAATAAATCTGATGACTTTGCTTATCATTAGTTTCATAATTGACTTAATCTGAAAAACCAGTGAGTATTTGTATTTTTTTAATCCTCCCTTAAGGATATTTTTCCATTGATTTTTAGAGAGAGTGGCAGAGAGAGGGAAAAACAGAAATATGGATGTGAGAGAAACACATTGATTGGTTGCCTCCTGCACGTGCCCCAACAAGGGCCCGGGGCCGGCGAGGAGCCTGCAACCAAGGTACATGCCCTTGACTGGACTCGAACCTGGAACCCTTTGGTCTGCAGGCTGAAGCTCTATCCACTGAGCCAAACTGGCTAGGGCTCAGTATTTGTATTTGAAAAATGTTTATATTCCTTGCATGCTAACTCCAGGTGATCTGTTGTGTTTGATGCACTTGCTGTTTTTCTAAGAATTAGTTATGCCCTATGTGCATGTAAAAAAATGCAGTCCTTTTTAACTGCTTTTTATGGATCATAAAAGAAACTCAATAAAACCGAAGGCAAAATTCCTAATTAAATTTTAGAAAAAAAAATTGAAGTTCACTTGCATAAGTAGTTTCTAATACTTCATATATCATTTCTCTAAAAGCACTGTGGTTTACTAGGAAATTATTTAAGAAGTAAAATACAAGCAATATTTAAATAAAAACAAGTTTAAAATCTTGTTTTATTTGGGTCACCATGTGGTCAGTTGAAGATCTAAGGAACCCCAAATAATATTTTATACAATCTTTTTATTTTATTTTATTTTTTAAGCAAGGCAAATATCTTTACTTCTGCAGGAGGGTGTACACGCACAGGGTCTGGCAGCACACACAGTGAGCAGGTGGTCTGCTTGGGCTTTTATGCCTGACACACGTCATCTGTCCCTCACTCTTGATTGGTGAGGCTCACACTCTTGTGTGATTGGCTAATTTAAAGGAAAAAGAGTGCCAAGTCATGTGAGCCAAAATTATTTTATACACTAGAGGCCCAGTGCATGAAATTAGTGCACGGGTAAGGTCCCTAATGGCTGCCGGCTGGGGCCTCTCTTCCCTTCTCCCAGCTGTCTGCCACTGCTGCCGGCTGGGGCGGGGCCAGCTGTAGGGAGAGATCAAGGGTGGTTGCCTGGCCAGCCCCGCCCCCTGGTCAAACTCCCAGTTGAAGGGACAAATGCATATTAGGCTTTTATTATATAGGATTCTTAACGTTAACAGCTTTCTGCCTGGAATGGTTTTCTTCCAGATATCTGCAAGGCCAGGTCCTTACCTCCTTCAGGTCTTTGCTGAAAAGTCACTTTGCCAATAAGCCTAGACTTATCCCCTTATTTAAATCTACAACCCTCCCCTTTTTTCTGGTACTACTTCTCCTTGTCTGCTCTACTTTTTTCCTGTAGCACTTATGGACCCAGAGTATAATTTACTTATTATATTTATTGTTTATTGTCTGTCCCTTTTCAGGACACAAAAGCTTTTGTGAGGGCAGTGACTTATTTCTTCTGTTCACAGATGTATTTTAAGCACTTAAGCAGGCTATCGATGGATTTCAGCAAATAGCCTTAGAATGAGTTTTGAATGAATGCATGCTTTAAAAGGATCTCTCTGGCTACAGTACTGAGAATAGATTGTGGGGATGACGTTTCAAGGTTGGAAGTAAAGAGACTACTTAGGAGATGATTGCCACAATCCTGAGGGGGATGATGGAGCAGGGCAAGTGGTGAGAGTGGCCAGATTCTGGATGTATTTTGTAGGCAGAGCCAAAAGTATTTACTGATGGAATGAATGTAGGGTATGGAAAAAAATAAAAGAGGGAGGTTAGGATTAATGACTCAAGGCTTTGGCCTGAGCAACTGGAAGGATAAAATTGCTATTCACTGAGATAGTGAAGACTACAGGAGAAGCAGATTTGGGTAGGGAGGTGAAAGTGAGGGCTTCTATGATGGTGAGGCAGATGCATATGTGTTTGGATTTCAATGGAAATGTTTGGACTGGAAACATAAATGTGGATTCATCAGTACTAAAGGAAGCTGGAAACAGCAGCCAGTGAGGTGGGAGAACCAAGGGAGTGTCAAGCCAGGAAAGGGAAAGTGGTACAGAAAGGAGGGCTGATCACGTTTGTTAAAATGCTGCTAGGAGCTAGGAGGTGAAAATGAGGTGGAGAATTGACTATGGGAATTGGTAATATGGAGTTTATTAGTGAATCTGAAAAGAGCAATGTAATAGTTTGTTGTTTTGTTTTAAATAAGCATGTCACATTGATGCCATATCTTACTTTGTGAACTGCTGTCAAACTAGGTCTCTCCCCTTTGTAGAGTTGATTTTCCTTCCTATTACATTTCATCTTATTAGTTTATCTGCATTGTTCCATTGAATTGAATTTACGTTGATAGCTTTTGAAATATGATTTTACCAAATTATATTTAGTTATTCCTACTAACTAAATATTATAAACTTGGTAATCACACTTCTATATCTTTAGCCATTAATTAAAATCTGTAAATAAGATAGAACCAAATTAAGACCCCTGTAGTATACCACTAGAGGCCTTTTAGGGAGATAGATATCAATTAATTTTAGGGTGATATAAAGAAATAAACTAATTAATACTTTTGGAGTCAGTTATTCACACAATTATAGTTATAACTAATCTGTTATACTACAAGAGAATTATGAATGATTTTGTCAGATCATTTGTTAAAATCCATATAAGGCCTGGCTTGCATGGCTCAGTGGTTGAGCATCAAACCAGGAGGTTACGGTTTGATTCCCGGTCATGGCACATGCCTAGGTTGCAGGCTCAATCCCTCATGTAGGAGGCAGCTGATCAATGATTCTCTTCCTCTCCCTTCCTTTCTGAAATTAAAAAAATATATATTTAAAAATCCATATAAGATTATGTGTAGAATTCTTGTGATTTATTGTTGTAGGAACCCTATGAGCCAAGTCAGTGAGCTTTTAATATTAGATCACCTATCTAGGTGGGAGCCAGGGTTGACTCTATTCTAGCTAAATTGTTTACCTAACAGTGTCATCAGAATTGCCTTTAGATATTCAGAGAGAAGCTATGTTAATAAATAACAAGGTACCAGAACAAGCTTGCTGCCCCCCTAACCCCCCACCCCCATCAAAGACTAATGAGAACAAAATTGCACTTGGCTCTCAGGCTTTTGTACTGTGGTAAACTGAGGAAGGACAACCACAAGGAGAGGTTGTGGAGCACCCTGGAGTGCAGAGCTTTGTAGGAACAGAGTTACAGGCGCACCAAGGCAGTGTGCAGAAATCCAAGGGGGAGGCACCCTTGTGGAGACGACTGAAATTTCAAGATGCAGAATTGCAAAAATTGGTCATTAGCCACAAACTTAAAGAAAGTCATCGATATATATAAAAGCCTAAGTGACCGGCCATGACATGCAATGATCACTTGGGGGCAGATGCTCAACACAGGAGCTGCTGAGCGACAGCAACTTTGCAGACTGCCTTCTCACACTCCGGGACCCCTTGGGGGATGTCAGACTGCTGGCTTCAGCCCGAATCCCACAGGCCAGCCTGAGGGACCCCACCTGCCAGAGGGACTCCGCTCATTCTGCAGGCGCCCTCCGAGCCCTGGCGCCACCCCAGGTGCTGCTGGCCGGGAAGGGACTGGGGGAGGTTGGCTCCAGGGTGTGTCCAGCCCATCCTGCTCAGTTCTACTCCGCTGGCCACTTTCTAATTAATTTCTTTTCAATGTGCACAAATCTGTGCACTGGGCCTCTAGTTTATAAATATAAACCATAGAAGAAACACTTGTTATACATCAGTTTTTTTAGCCACAGCAGCCAAATGATCATCATAAATATCTGAATATTTTAATATAAAGATGGCATATCTTTATATATAAATAAATACATATTTATATATGAATATAATTTTAAATAATATATAATATAAATAAGATGGCATATCTATATAAATAATATATAGAAATAATTTTATGAGTGAAGAAATGAGACTCAGATTAAGTGTGGAGGTAGGAAAAGGCAAAACTGTCAGATAAAGACTGGATCAGTGATTGTCAAGCTGGAGTAGGGAGGTGTTTGACTTCAAAGGGGCAACATAGGAGAATTTTCGGGGGTGATGGAACTGTTTTACATCCAGTTGTGGTGGTGGTTTCATGTGTTAAAACCAATGCAATTGTATACCCCCAAAATGTTAACTTTACTGTATATAAATAAAAACAAATCACATGGATAGTGAGTGGAAGAACAGGGGCTTAACCTGGGTTTGTGACTCTATTAACACATTGTTCTTTATCTTTCCTCCTTTTTGGTCATCACTGATCTTTGTTTTCCCTGTCCCAGATAGAGAGTGTCCCCTTTTCCAGCCATCAAAATGCAATTAACTTTTTGTTTTTAGGTCACAGATTTTAATGTAGCGGCCCAGATACGTTGTTATTATTTTTAAATAACATTTACTTATTCTCAGAATGTTACAAGAGGCAGAGGAAGAGCCTTCCTGGCAGAGGGTTGAAGCAAAGCCCAGTGGCGGGAGAGAGCATGACTCACTGGAGAAACTGAAATGTAGCTGGTGTGGCTGGAGTGGGAGGAAGGAGGAGGGGGATGCAGTGAGGTACAGGATGCAGCTGGCATAGTGGGAGCTAGACCACAGAAAGTACTCATAAGCACTTTGAATTTTATTCTAAGAGAAATGAGAAGCCATTGAAGTGCTTTAAGCAGGGACTGATGAGATTGGAGTTGGAAATATCACTCTGGTTATAGTGTAGAGATGGGTTACGGGATGGGGTGCAGTGATTGGTAGATTCAGGGAGACATTAGGTGGCTATTGCATACACTGGGCAGGAAATGGTGATAGCGTGGCATAAGGCAGTGATTCTCAACTGGGGGGCTCTTTTGCCCACCAGGGCATATTTGACAATGTTTGAGACATTTTTAGTTGTCACAAGTAGGCGAGGCAGGCGGTGGGTGCTGTTACTGGCATCCAGTAGGTGGTGGCCAGGAATTCTGCCAAAAATCCTATAATGTATGGGGCTTCCTCCCACAACAAAGAATTATCTAGCCAAAAATGTAAGTAGTCCCAAGGTTGAGAAACCCTGCTATAAGGTGATGTCAATGGATATGGAGGGGAGAGATTTGAAAGATATTTCAGAGGTAAAATGGATAACATCTGGTTATAGGCTGGATTTTTTTAATGAGAAAAAAGGCAAATAATTGTATTGAAAACATGAAATGGAGAGACACACCATGTTCATGAACTGGAAAATTCAATTTCATGTAGATGTTGATTTTCCTCAAACTGATATATAGATTCAGTGGGTTCCAGTCAAATCTCAGAGGTTTATAACTGGTGGAAGTTGACAAGCTGATTCTAAACTCTACTAGTATATGGAAGAGCAAGGACCAAGAATAGATCTCAGGGAATCAAACACAGGGGGTTGATATAGTGGGACAAAATAGAAAAATAAATTGTGGTATATTCAAATGATCACTCTATATAGCTGTACACATTCATTTGGACAAATCTCAGAAACATAATACTGAGTGAAAAAGCAAGTCACAGAAGAATAAACATGGGGTAATTCCACTTATATAAAACTCAAAAACATGTAAAACCAATACAAACATGTAATAACATAACAAAGCAAAGCCAGGGAATGATGAAGACAACAGTGTTTTCTCTGCCAGGGAGGGGCACAGCAGGGACATCAAAGGAAATGGTATCCATTTCTCAAGTGAGGGCGGGGGGTGTTGTTTCTCTGTATCTCCTATTTAATTAAAAACAAACAAAAAACAAGATATCTTGGAGGGTGAGTATTAAAGCAGAGGAGGAAACAGGCAGTCTGCTTATGTATAGCACAAAGTGCCAGGCACACCATGTTCCTAACGCAGTTAAAAATTAGTAATAGCCCGGTTGGCATGGCTTAGTAGTTGAGCATCGACCTATGAACCAGGGTTTGATTCCTGGTCAGGGCACTAGCCCAGGTTGTTGGCTCAAACCTCAGTGTGGGGCATGCAGGAGGCAGCTGACCAATGATCCTGTCTCTAACATTCTAATATTAGAATGTTCAAGAATAATCCTATATTACTTAGATTCTATCAGGCAACAATGCTATGTGATCCTTCCTTAAGCCAGCATATCCATAGTGAATGAAAGACTGGATATCACTAGAAAGTTGGCTAACAATTATGCACACACACACACACACACACACACACACACACTACAGAGTGGGGTAAAAGGTTTATAGTTTTGAGTACATGAAACAGAGTTTATTCTTGTAATATTAATTATTAATTATTGTATTATTTTCCATATGAATAATTGCATACCGAGTTTTGCCCCAACCTGTATAATTTATCATATTAATACTTCTAGGGAGAAAAAAAAATCAGTGGTGTTCACCATAAAAGCTGAAAGAGCATTTGGCATAATTCAACACCTTTTTAAAAAATACATATTTTTAAAATTGATTTCAGAGAGGAAGAGAGATATAGAAACATCAGTGATGAGAGAGAATCACTGATCGGCAGCCTTCTGCACACCCCACACTGGGGATTAAGCCCACAGCCTAGGCATATGCCCTGACTAGGAATCAAACCGTGACCTCCTGGTTCATAGGTCTATGCTAAACCACTGAGCCACGCCAGCCAAGCAACACCTTTCTTGATAGAATCACACAAAATATAAATAGATGATAGTTTTTTAATATGATACCAAATATATGTATATCAGTTCAAAAGTCAGAATGATGCTTAGTAGAGACACTGTGATATTTCTACTACAAGTGTGAACAAGCTAAGGATGCCAACTATTAGTTTTTAACATTGAATTACAGTAAAGGCAAAGATTATAGGAATAACTAGGTGATAGTGAGGGGAACCAAGAAAAAAACCACATGTTTTGACTACAGGGATTCACCAAGATTAGTCATACCACTCCTTTCTCAAGGTTATAAAAACAAACCACCAACCCTAATACGGGAACAATAAATAGGAAAGAGAAGTAAGAGAAAATTTCTGTTTTGTATTTTTTTTAATTAAATCTTTATTGTTCAGATTATTACATTTGTTCATCTTTTTTCCCCCCATAACTCCCCTCCTCCCAGTTCCCGCCCCACCCTCCGCCCTCACTCCCCACCCACTGTCCTCATCCATAGGTGCACGATTTTTGTCCAGTCTCTTCCCGCATCTCCCA